GAAGCTCGGAGGTCGGTCCACCGCGGACTCCAGAAAAGTCCGCGCGGACCTCCGAGTCGTCACGACGTTCCTGTCACTGCTCGCTCTCCCCTGGCTGTGGCCTCCCCCCCTCGGGAGCGGCCAAGAGGGGGGTGTCCAAGAGGGGGGGATGCGAATCATGACCGGCGGCATGTGCGCGGCCCAGCGGGGGGGCCAGGGACGTATTGAAATAAGAAGAGGCGCCATGAGATCTGGGGAAATATCATGGCCCCCGCCATGATATCCACCCCCCCCTAGTCATCACCCCCCTCTTTTCCGCCCCCGATGGATGTGGCCTCCCCCCCTCCCGCTCGCGCGGGCTCCTGCGCGCCCGGGCCCCGCCGGGCGGCGCCGAGGCCCTGCTCCACGCCCCCCGGGCGTGCCGCGGGCGCCGCCGGGGGGCGCGGCCCACGCCCGCGCCGGCGAGCATGGCTGAAGCGGGAGGCTGGGAAGTAGGCGCGAGCTGACCACCTGCCAGACGAGTGGCAATGTTTAACACATGGGATTTCTAAGAAATCTAAGATTTTAAAAGCATGGCTAATTTATGAATAAATTGATGCATGAACTCACCGCTGTTTTTAACGCTCAACCCCTGCACGTTTAAAACATGATCCGCACACGGAGCATGCATTAAAAACGGCACTGTACCCCAACCCAACCCCGAAGACCCGAATTTCGGGGGGGGTAGCGAGTTCCATCCATGGTTTCTCAACGCTTCCCGACGAGCCCCCACCCGCCTACCCCCGGGGAGTGGCGGGCAAATTGGGACCTTCGGGTTGGGTCGGGGTGGTTTGGTGGGTGGTGACCAGCACCACCTAGAGGCCTCACAGATCAAACACGAAAACAAGCGAGCTTTACGCGAGGTGGCATACCGACCCAGCGCCGCGGCTCCCGCTGGCCGCCAGAGAGACACGTCAGATGTGAAGCGACGGCACTGACGCGCGATTTTACGCGGGTGGCTGACGCGACAATGTCGGCATAATCGACCTTGGGTTCTTCCGTCGCTCAGAATTGGCTGCCGGACCAAAGGGTCTAAGGCTCCCCGCCCCCCCTGTGGGACTCTTCTGCTGTCCTCTGCTACCACCGCTCTAGAAAGCCTCTAGCGAAACGCAATAAAGAAAAAACCTGTGGTTGTGATTCCTTCATTAGAGACTAGAGGCCTCCCTGATGAGATCCGAGCAAATGGGGTCGGCGGTGCAGCGGCGACGTCCGCACGGACAAAATCGGGCTTCACATCGAGCCGCATCGGCGATGCATCAATGACGCGGTACGATCCTCCAACCACATCTACTCGGACCCCATCCAGTACGTCTAGACCAACACAGGGTGGTGGAGCCTGTTTTACATTTATTCGCGAGAACACCCGTGACTAACCCCGCCCCGCCCCGTGACTAACCCCACCCCCTGGCCCAACGCCACGTCACGATTCGCCCCGGCGCCGTGTAGGAATTGGCCATGCAGAAGCATACGGCGCCAGCGCGAATCGTGACTTGACTGGGCCCTTCCACCCCATTCCCCCCTTCCTGGTCACGCCTATGATCGCCAGGGGGCAACAACAAAACAGCCTCCAGCACAGGGTGTTGCCTCAACCGCGGAGGATGATCCTGGCTTCCGCTGCTGGTGGCAATCTGTCGGCCACCCAGGAGGCCCGCATCATCGGCACAACCATCGCTACCATCAGAATCGTTGCCACCATTGCCAGCGTCATCATGACATCGCGCCCGCCCGAGCCACCGACCTGCACTGAAGCGCCTGAGCACCGGCGCCGTCTCTGAGACGCGTTGGGCACCTCCCATCGGCAAGCACCGTCCCGGCCGCGGCACTTGTGCCAAACCAGATGGCCGCTCTGCGCGCGAGCTTGCGCGCCCCAGCGCGGCCGTAGAAATGCGCCAACCAGTGCGAAGATTCAACCGCACCTGTGGCCGAACAACTTGCGGGTGGGAGGGTGTGATGGCTCCTCGAACAGTAGAATTGAAAAAGGTAAGTTCTTCAGAGCTGATTCTCCTTTCTAACAAAATAATAATTCTGCCACCGTCCCCCCCCGGAGTTAAAGACCCCCCGGGAACCAATGCAAAACACATAGGCTTCTGGCCCAATGTCCATCCTACCTGTGAATTCATACTATCCTAGCCAAACCGGTATCGCCCCCCCCCCGCCATCCTCTGCAAAAAACACTATGCGTGCACACTCCTTCACCAAAAATCAGAATTGTCAAGAATCCCTTGCAAAAAACGGGACGAAGTGCACAAGCGCGCGTCGTCGCGCGTGCATGCCGAAATCTGTCAAAAACCTGCGGTTCCGGAAGGATTTCAAAATCGAATTTCCTTAAAAAACATACAAAAACACAAAATGTCGCAACACTGATGTTCTAAAAAAACTTACGCGCGACCTTTCGAAGTCTTAAGAAAACCATCGGTTTTTCAAGATGTTCAAAAAATACTACCAAACGGGCATGGCGAAATGTCAAAATCATTCGAACGCCCTTGAGCGCGTGCCGTCGCGAGAATCCTCTGCAAAAAAGTAACGATGTGCACGCACGCGCGTCGTAACACAGGGTTTCGCAACACGCATGGTCAACAAAAACGTTCGCACGCGCTCTTGCGTCGTCGTCGTCGCCGTCCCTCCTCCCTCGTCGTCGTCGCCGTCGTCGTCCTGTCTTTCCTCGTCGTCGTCGTCGTCCTCTTTGGCGTCGTCGTTTCCGTCGTCATTGTCGCCGTGGTCGTCCTTCCTCCTCCCTCGTCGTCGTCGTCGTCCGTCGTCGGCGTCTCGTCGTCGTCCCTCCTATTTCGTCGCCGTCGTCCTCGTCGTCGTCGTCTTCCCTCCTCCCTCGTCGTTGTCGTCGTCGGCGTCGCCGTCCTCCCTCTTTCTTCGTCGTTCGCGTCGTCCCCGTCCTCCCTCCTCCCTCGTCGTTGTCGTCGTTGTCGCCGTCGTCGTCCTCCCTCCTCCCTCGTCGTCGTCGTCGTTGGCGACGTCGTCGTCGTCGTCTTCGTCGTCGTCGGCGTCGTCGTCGTTGTCGTCGTCGGCGTCGTCGCCGGCGTCGTCGTCTTCGTCGGCGTTGTCATCGTCGTCGTCGTCGGTGTCGGCGTCGTCGTCGTCGTCGGTGTCGTCGTCGTCGTCGTTGTCGTCGTCGTCGAGGTCGTTGGAGACGCCGTCGGTGTCGTCATAAACGTTGTCGGCGGCGTCGTCGTCGTCGTTGTCGCTGCCGTCGTCGGCGTCGGTGTCGTTGCCAAGTGCCATTTGGTACCTACCGTCACGGTCTTAAGAAGTCTTGCGACCAAGTTGCGGGTGGGAGAGTGGGATGTTTGCACGAGCAGTGGAGAGGACAGCTTCAAGTTGAGCAAGTGATTGACTGCGCAACATAGAATGCACCGCGCAGGGTGCGCCCAATAAGGTGATTCACATACTTCTTGCACCACATTCAAGCTGATTGCACATCGAGAAAGCAAGATCCTTTTGTGTGTGTTCTGGCGGGGGGCACGCTGGTTAACATCTGTTCAGTAGCGATGCCACTCGGTGGGAAGGCCCGCTGCATGGAGGAAAAATGGCAGCAGCACCCAATGCATAAGTGTTTCCCTCCTCCGTCTTCGACGCTACCCCAGCACATCTGTATCATAGCCCACGGCTCCCGCCGCTGTGCTGCAGCAATCGCCGCTGCATCCTCACCCCTCCTGTGGCTCGTCGTGTTCTCATCACGCACGGGCTGATTTGCTCTGGTACCGCAAACCAGATGCGGAGGCTGCGAAAATCAATGACGAAGTGGTGTACGCTTTCGTGTAGATCCGAATCAGGCGAAGTCACGACGGGAAGTCAACTCTGAACGTAGAGCATACCAGAACGACCACGCAAAGCAGGCACAAAATTAGCATGGCAAAGGACCCAAGCCATATGCAGTTGTCAGTAACGCAATTGTGAGCGTCGCCTTCGGAGAGGAGCTCCCTATGGGGCCACGAACCGTGCTAAGGGTGTGCCGGAATGTGCGCGGAAGTCGCATGCGAACACTGCTACTCGGGCCTTCGGTGGAAATCCGCATGGGCCACGAACCGTGTGAGTGGTGTGCCGAAATTCGTGCGCGGGACGCATGCGAGAACCGCCACTGGGGCCTTCGGTGGGCCACCTTCTGGAGCCACGGAACGTGTGAGAGGTGTGCCGACATGCGTGCGGAGGACGCATGCGAGAACCGCCGCTGGGGCCTTCGGTGGAGCTCCCCATGGGGCCGCGAAACGTGTGAGGCGTGTGCCGAAATCCGCGACGGAGACGCATGCGAGAACCGCCACTGGGGCCTTCGGTGGAGCGCTCTATGGGGTCACGAACCGTATGAGGTGTGTGCCGACATGGGTGCGGAGGGCGCATGCGAAAACAGCCACTGGGGCCTTCGGCGGAGCTCCATATGTGGCCAGCGTGTGAGGGGTGTGCCGACATGCGTGAGGATGACGCATGCGAGAACAACCGCTGAGGCCTTCGGCGGAACTCCCTATGAGGCCACGAACCGTGTGAAGGGTGTGCCGTAATGGGTGCGGGGGGCGGATGCGAGAACCGCCACTGGGCCTTCGGCGGAGCTCCCTATGGGGTCACAAAACGTGCGACGGGTGTGCCGACATGCGTGCTGGGGACGCGTGGGAGCACTGCCACGCGGGCCTTCGATGGAGCTCCCTATGGGGCCACGAAGCGTGTGAGGGGTGCGCCGTAATGGACATGCGCAGGGCGGAGGCAGAGATGGGAGGAGGGAAGAGGGGGAGGAGGAGAGAAGAAGAGGGACGCTGGGCGCTGTCTCTTGAAATAGAGGACCCAACACCACAGGATAGTTGGGAACAACGCAGACTGATGGACGAAGTGGGGCGGGTGAGCAACGAAAAAGGAGAGCGATGGAAAAGGGAAGGTTCTACCCATACGCTGGCGACTGTATGTCCAGACGCTCCAGCTGCTCATTGAGAGAGAGAGAGATAGGGATTGGGAGACAACAGCAAACACATCGCTAAAAACTCTTTTACTGATGGTGGAGTCGCCTCGGGTATAAGAGCACCGCAACTCAAGACGTCGAGCGAATTGACTCCAATTGGTCTCCCCTGACCAACCTATCCCCAGGCGGGGCTAAAAAGTGCTGCGCCATGAGACGACTAGCACACGCCCAGCAGTCAGCAATGCCTGCGCTGCCTGCACCCGCAAGAACGCTAAAAGAATACGGCCAAGCCGATTCGAATCTGAATCCTACAAAAGTGCTGCATGGTGGCATGGACAGCAGCGATGGCAGCGGAAGCGGCGGCATCATCAGAGACAATATACTACTGATCCGCCTGGCCCACCCACGAAAGCGCCGCGAACCAGCACAACACGACCCTCACCGACTGTCTAGTATGAAGTTGCGGTGGGGGGGAGGGCGCGACATGTATGGGGGCTTTCAGTAGGGCGAGAGGTAGGGAGATGGCGAGGAGAATGAACAGGACGAGGGGCGATGGGGAGGAATGGGGGAAGATGGAGGAAAGAAGACAGGAGTGGAGACGAAAGGCGAGACGGGAGAATTGAGAAAAAGGTCACCTCTGTGCGACAGTCTGTGCATCGTGAGGCCACCGGCAGCAGCGCTGGGAAGGGGAAGCGCCAGACACAAGATCAAGCAATACCTGCATTGCTTTTTCCTTTTCCTCAGAAACACGCCAATGTGGATTGCGGATCCGTGGATCTGGCGAATCGGCATCAAATCCACGGATTGGGGAAGGTAACCCCCAAAAACATGAGGCCAGAACCGCCGAATCTGGTGACGCAACGCGCCAATGTTGCACGGAAACGGGGCAATCCACGCGCCTTAATCCATGTTTGCGAGTCCTTGACCTCCTCCCCCTCCTCCCCCCTCCTCCTTCCTCCTCCTAAATCTTCCCCGCGTCGTGTCCTCTTTCATCGTTCTGAGCTTGCCCACCATTGGAAACAGCTATGTTCGCTCCCGTTCCCACCCCAAGAGGTGTCCACACTTGATACGCATGTACATGTAGTCTACTGGCTCCCTCTGTGTTCAAGGCTTGCATAACACTGCCGCTAGCTGGTCATATTGGTTCTTGTTGGTTATGTTGCTGTGCTGGACGAATGATACAAGAACATGGGAGGGCGGCTGGATCAGGGACACTGCAGCTGAGAAGGAATGCTTGCGCATAACGAACCTGGCGCAACGAGGAGAACGCGGACGTGGGAGAATAGGATGGTTCAGTGAAACAGGGGGATGAAACCAGGTGTCTCGCATCCGCGGTTCGACCTATGGTGTAATGTGGCGTGCCCATCATGCCCAAAAGGCCCTTTGAATGGACCTGGCCCGCGGCGCTCAGAAGCAACGACGCACGACACTTGCCAACAGTATCCCGAGAAGTTCCGAAAGACGTCGGCGCGAGAAGCACCGGCTGGTGGCGCGCACCACGGAGGCCGAAGGCCACTGGACTGCCAACAAGAGCTTCAGCCAGGCTCGCAAAAATGAATGGCCAAACGTGGATTCCATACCTCTTCTTGGGGGTCGGCGGAAGGGGGTAAGCCTCTTGAGCAGAGTGTGCAAGGCATCCGCACGAGAAGCGCGCAAGTTGGCGGCGCGCGCACGAGGGGGCGCCGCGAGTTGGGCCGCCCTCCAAGGAGGCGGGGCGGGGGAGGGCTTCTCACAAGGCAGGAGCCCTCCTGCAAGGGTCTGGGAGGTTCCAAGAAGGCGCCCTTGAATCTTGACGGGCTTCTGAGAAGGCCCCTGCTTTCTTTGAAGACCACCCCCTCGCGCGGCCCCCTTCGTGCGCGACGGTATGCGGGAGGGATGCTGTGATGCACAGAGGCCCTCACCCCAATGAAGAGCGCCTTCGCTCCGCGCACAGCGGATCCTCGGCGGCGGTGGATCGGAAAACGCGCTGCCCTGACAGACGATTACCTGCTCGGGGTATCGATTTGATGTAGAGGCTTAGCCTGCGTGGCCGATTTCTCATCCTCCTCAAACTCCTCATAGTCGTCCCCATCCTCCTGCTCCTGCTCCTCCTCCTCCTCTCCTCCTCCTCCTCCTCCTCCTCCTCCTCCTCCCTCCCTCCTCCTCCTCCTCCTCCTCCTCCTCCTCCTCCTCCCTCCTCCTCCTCCTCCTCCTCCTCCTCCTCCTCCTCCTCCTGCTCCTCCTCTAGATTCAACGAGGCCGAGTACAAGAATATGTTGGTCATGAACACTCGGCCGTATTCGGCTGATCGTGCTTACGATCATCGCAAAGGCTTCAGCCTGGAGCAAGCCAGAAGCAGCAGCTGCGCTCGACGACGGGGACTCTGGGCATAAGCTTAGCAGCGCACGGTCCAGGGGTAAGATCCGCCACAGTGCCCACTGCCACGCTGAGACGTGGTAGAAATGCCAAATGCTGTTTGGCAGGGGTCCACAAGTCTTCTGAGGAGCGCCCCCCTCGCTTGCCAGCGGCCTGCATCCTCACCTCTCCCAGGGCTGCCTGGGCGGCTCGACAACTCCCTGGGGCTCTTCGCGACACTCGGAGGCGTCCCAGAGGGCCGAGGAAGGTACCAAGGTCGCCATGAAGGCCCGATGTTACCTTAAGACGCACCCAAGAGCCCCATTAAGGAGCGCCCAGGTAGGTCCTACAAGACCTCCGCGAGGCTCTAAAGTACCCTCAAGACGCTCTCCAGGTGGGGGGAACGTGAGGGGCAAACAGTATTGATGGTGTGTGTGTGTTCCATGTTTTCGTTGTTCACGATCATCGGCCGAATACTTTAGTAGGACGAGCGATTTTCCTCTTGTGGTGTAAATGACCCTGACGAGATCGACAGGTAACATCGGCGCCACCGAACGGACGGCGTCTGGACGAGCTGCGCGCAGCAACAGGGAGGAGAGAGATGCCTTCATGTTGACTGGGGCCTGCGCGCGCGGAAAGTTGATTGGGGCGCAGGAGACAGCACGGGACCCATCTTGGGAAGCTGATGCCCGAACCCCTTTCCCCCGTAGAATCTTCACACGGGCGGTGGATTCTGGGGTCCGCGGATCCGATTTCTTCTGCTTCCCCGCTCTGCTTAAAAAACAGATCTAGAACGGGGTAGCAACCGGATCATCCTTAAACAATACGACCGGGCGCTGGTCCAGAAAATCCGACATCGGATTCGCGCGGGCGGAAATCGGATCCGCCGAAACAAAAACCAAAACCACAATTGGATCCGCGCGACCTACATGGGGTCCGACGGCGGTTATCTCCTACGCGTCTGCTCAAGACTTCGAACCGTTGATCCGGGCACAAGAGGAAAACTTTCGTCCTGGATGTATCCCCCCATTTGTGGCCTTCGAAAACCCTAAAGAGACCACTGAGAGCCCCAAGAGGACCCCGAGACAGCCAAAAACGGTCCCCAGAGAGCCTTAAGCTAGCCCTCTTGCCCCACGACGGCCCAAGAGAACCCCAAGACGCCAGAAGAAAACCCCCTGACATTCAAAAAAGACCCAGAACAGCCCAACAGGGACCCCAAAGACTGCCACAGAGGAAGCCAAGACAGCCTCAAGATGGCCCAAATAAGCCCCATGAGAGCTCCTGAAGCAGTGGAGATGAGCGATGTCGCATAAGACAGCCTTCTGGGCGGTGCTCGAAGGGTCGCCAAACAGAATGCGCTCCTGGCAAGGTTGCCGCGGGCACCTGGATAAAATTCATCAGAAATCAAATGCTCCATCTTGAAAGTTTCGTAGCGCTGGCCGGTCGGTTCCTCGTCTTGCCCAGGTCTCGGTCAGCTGGGAATTCACTGCACACCCATACCTTTGCCCTAGAAGGATACTTCCTGCAACTGGGCCGAAGTGTAAGCACCAACACTGCGTGCACTGAAAGACCTTCCCACTCTGGCCGTACCTCCCCTCCTGCATCCAGGCCCTCCTGGCCCAGCGCGGCTCATCTGCTGGACCCTCCCGACTCATCTGTGATCCCCCGCGCGCCTGCAGCGTCGTCCGTGACATTTGCCCGGTTGCCACTCCGTGCTCATCCTGTCCGCATCCTCCGCCCTGACCCCTCGGGGTCCCCTCCAGGCGCAGGTTCATCACTTCCCCGCGGGCTTCTTGAGCACCATCTCGGAGCAGGGGAGAATCGGGAATAGAGATAGATGGCACTATGAACAACAAGGTATTTGCAAACGACGGCGAGGCATGGATTCAACTACCCCCGGAGGGGCTCATCTTGGGCCAGGCATCCGCGCGACTTGGACCCCGCAAGGTTTGTTAAGGGCCCACAGAGGTCGGGCTCGAAACCAAATGAGCACCCTGAACACACCTTCTCCCAAAGTATAGAGTATCGTCCCTTGTCGCCGAGAGGGGCGGACAGAGAGGAGAAAGACTTCACATGTCTCTATCTCTCTCTCTCTCTCTCTTTCTCACTATGTCTCTCTCTCTCTCTCTCTTTCTCGTTTTCTCTCGTTCCCTCTTCACACGCACAAATCCTCCCTCTCACCCGCGAAAAGGAAGACTCGGAACAGCTTACAAACAAGGTGCTCCAACTTCTGGACTTCATGGACTTCACAAAGATTGAAAGATTGAAGGCACCGTGCCTTTCGCCTTTGAAGACTGGAAACGCTGGAGAGCTGGAAACCTACACGGTGCTCCACCAGACAAAATGCAAAGATGCACAACACCGGGTGTTTCAGCTGTCGGAAGTGTAGCTGGCAACGCAGGAACACAGAGGGTTGTCCACATGTCGGACCTGGAAAAGCTGGACACCACAGGTCTCCGACGCGCCTTGTGTCTAAGAAGAGTGAAGCAGGACGAGATGAAGGAGCAAGACGAACAGTGGAAAGTGAATGGCGTCAAGGAGAAGGATGTATGATGATGTAGGAAGAAGCGAGCCATAGTGGTTTCCCCCTTCCCGCCCCCCACCCAACCACACCCCCAAGTGATCGTACATCCTCTGACTTGGCACTGACACCCTCGGCACAAGTGTACATGAGTTTGACACCCATCTGCAACGAGTGCACAAGAAATTTGCAAGTACGCATGCACGCTACGCCTATGATAAAGCACACGGAGGACACAGCAAGTTGCCCTACATGGTACCTGAGATGCATCCAACCCCTTCTCCGCGCGAGGCGACTGCTTATACTTACGCCCCATACACGAGAGCACATCCAGAGCCCTGCGCAATGTGATGCAACAGCGCCGCGCGCTGCATGACGCGACGGCGCCACGCTCCACGTGGGCACGCGCAGCGTGGGCGCCCTGCACTCGGACGTGCCTCCCAGGAGCCCACGAGATTGGCGACGGCTGCGCAGCTCGCTACAGCTGCGCAGTTCGCAGCCCCGAAGGGAGCCGCGAGGTCTCGAATGATCTGCGCTGCCCTGCACTCCGCCGTGTCTCCCAGGAGACCACCAAAATGGCGACGGTTGCGCAATGCGCAGCCCACGACGTAGCCGCGAGATCTTAAATGATCTGCGCTGCCCTGCACGCCGCCGTGCCTCCCAGGAGAGCCACGAAAGTGGCGACGGTTGCGCAGTTCGCAGCCCCGCCGAAGCGCACAGGATGCAGGAAGAGGTAGGCGGAGGAGGCGATGAATGAGGAGGGGGAGGAGGACGGAGGGTATGGGGAGGGGGACGCACGAGCAGCGCTCTAGTCAAAACGAGAACCCAACACAGGATAGTTGGGAATTCGAAGCACGGCGCCAAAACAAATATCGTGGCGAAGGATCCACCCAGATGAAAGAGCCAGTACCGCAAGGCAGGTGGAGCGATGGAGCGGGAGCTTCCTATGGTGCCACGAAACGTATGCGGGGTGTGCCCACATGAGAGGGGAACCGCAGGACCCTGCTATTGGGGCCTTCGGTGGAGCTCCCTCTGAGCCACGATACGTGTGGTGGGTATGCCGAAATGAATGGGTATGCGACGACTGTGTGAGGGGTGTGCCAGAATGGGTGCGGAACTGCATGCGGACCCTGCCGCTGAGGCTCTCGGTGGAGCTCCCTCTGGGGCCACTAAGCGTGTGAGAGGTGTGCCGAGATGGGCGCGGACCCGCAGGCGGACCCTACCACTGGGCCCTTCGATAGAGCTCGGAAGTGACGCGGGACGCTGCGGATTCAAAACGAAGACCCAGTCATCTTGGCGAAAGACACAAACATGTCAGCGTGCGTGCCGCAAGGGTGTCGCGGGTCCAAAAAAAAGATATACGGTTTAAAAAACTATTCAATATGGATCGAACTGAATATTTCCGAGCCAACAAAATGTCCGGCCCCCTAGGCGAGGTCCGTGTGAGGGATGTGCCAAAATTGGCCTCTGGACGCCGGGTAACCCAGCAACCGGGAAGACAACCAGCCAGTCAGCCAACCGGCCAACCAGCCCTTCCTAGTGCATGTCTGAGGATGTCCCACACCGCCGGGCCCTGGATTTTTTTTCTCCTTGAAGGGCCGCGGGGCGGGAAAAAAGGGAGGAGTGCGACGGAATGGAATGGAACGGACGGAATGGAATGCAAGGGAGGAGTGGATGGAATGGAAGGGAGGAGTGGATGGAATGGAATGGAATGGAATGGAATGGAATGGAATGGAATGGAATGGAATGGAATGGAATGGAAGGGAAGGGAAGGGAAGGGAAGGGAATGGAATGGAATGGAATGGAATGGAGTGGATGGAATGGAATGGAATGGAATGGAATGGAATGGAATGGAATGGAATGGAAGGGAGGAGTGAAGTGGATGGAATGGAATGGAATGGAATGGAATGGAATGGAATGGAATGGAATGGAATGGAATGGAATGGAATGGAATGGAAAGGAATGGAATGGAATGGAATGGAGTGGACGGAATGGAATGGCGTGGAGTGAGGTGGAAGCGACGGGAGGCGCGCGCGGAGGGGAGAGCAGGCAGGCGGGCGAGCGGGCGGACGTGCGGGCGTGCGGGCGGGCGCACTGCGTTGTGTTGCGTTGCGTTGCATTGTATTGCATTGCATTGCATTGCATTGCATTGCGTTGCGTTGCGTTGCGTTGCGTTGCGTTGCATTGCGTTGCATCCTGTTTCCTTGTATTGCATGGTGCTGTGATGCATGTCATGTGCATTGCATTTGCAGTACGCTGCATTCCAGTACGTTGCGGGCGAGGGGAATGAGGGAAGGGAGAGGTGGGAGGAGGAAGGAGGGGGAGGAGGGGAGGGGGACAGGAGGGGAGGGGAGAGGAGAGTAGTAAATTCCATTGCAGTGAGTAGGGAAGAAGGGGGAGGAGGGTAGGGGGAGGAGGGAGGATGGAGGAGGGAGGAGGCAGGATGGAGGAGGGAGGAGGGAGGAGGGAGGGAGGACCAGGAGGAAGATAGGATAGTATTGTTGCTCGCCTCCCTGGCCCTCGTCACCGTCGTTGTCGTGGCATGGTGCTTTGCTCGGCCCCAACGCTGCTGCCACGTGACGCGCTGCATTGCGTTGCGTTGCGTTGCGCTGCATTGCATTGCATTGCATTGCATTGCATTGCACTGCATTGCACTGCATTGTATTGCATCCTGTTGCGCTGCATTGCATAGCACTTTGTTGCATGTGGACTGCGTTTGCAGCACATTGCGTTGCAGTAAGCTAAGGGCGAGGGGGAGGACAGGAAGGAGGAGAAGGGGGGAAGGTCGAGAGGAGCGGAGGAAGAAGGAGTGAGGGAGGGGGGGAAGAGGGGAGCAGACGGAGGGAGGAAGGAGGAAGGAGGAAGAAAAGAGAGGAGGAAGGAGGGAGAAGGCAGGGAGGAGGAAGAAGGACGAAGAGAATAGGATAGAATTGGTGTTTGCCTCCCTGGCCCTCGTCATCGTCGTCGTCGTCATCGTCGTCGTGCTCGTCGTCGTCCTCGCTGTCGTCGTGGCATATTTTTCGGTTCGGCCCCCCCGGCGCTGCCACGTGACGACTAAAATGGAACACGATTCCTTCGCGCCTATGCCACGTGGCGATTGGAGTGGCATAGTGTTTTCTGTCGGCACCCGCATCGTTGCCACATGGTGAATCGTGGAAAAGATAGTTTTGTTTCTGGCCAGCGCGGCGCTGCCACGTGACAAGTAGAGTGAATGGAATACTGTAACTTCGCGCCCCCGGTCGTTGCCATGTTGCGCGTGAAGTGGCATTTTTGTCCCAACCATAGTGTGGTGTCGGGTACTCGTTTGAAGAAACAGCGACGCGCGTTCACCCCTTCCTCCTCCCCCCCCTCCCTCCCATCATCATCAGCACCATCATCATCACCATCATCAGCATCGTCAACATCGTCATCATCATCATCATCATCATCATCATCAGCATCATCAGCAGCAGTATCAGTATCATAATCATCATCATCAGCAGCAGCATCATCATTATCTCATGGTCAGCACAGTCCGCATAATGACCATGATGAGCTTCATCATCAGCAGCAGCAAAAACATCATCATCATCATCATCATCATCATCATCATCATCATCATCATCATCATCATCATCATCATCACCATCAGCATCGTCATCATCAGCAGCAGCATCAGCATCACCAGCATGATCATTTGCATCATCACTATCATCAGCATCGTCATCAGCAGCAGCAGCATCATCATCAGACAATCACCATCATCGCCAGCCATGCCGGCACACCCCTCACTCGTTTCGTGGCCCCATAGGAAGCTCCACCGAAGGCCCCAGTGGCGGTGCCCACATGCGTCCGCGCCACTCATGTCGGCACACCCTCACTCGTTTCGTGTGGCCCCATAGGGAGCTCCACCGAAGGCCCCAGTAGCGGTGCACACATGCGACCGCGCCACCCACTTCGGCACACCCCTCACACGTTTCGTGGCCCCATGGGGAGCTCCACCGACGGCCCCAGTGGCGGTGCCCACATGCGTCCGCGCCACCCAAGTCGGCACACCCCTCACTCGTTTCGTGGACCCATAGGGAGCTCCACCGAAGGCCCCAGTGGCGGTGCCCACATGCTTCCGCGCCACCCTTTTCGGCACGCCCCTCACTCGCATGCGTCCGCGCCACCCAAGTCGGCACACCCCTCACTCGTTTCGTGGACCCATAGGGAGCTCCACCGACGGCCCCAGTGGCGGTGCCCACATGCGTCCGCGCCACCCATTTCGGCACTCTTCACACGATGCGTGGCCCCAAAGGGAA